TTAAAAATTTAATTATTTTATTAACATTTATTATTTTTGTGATTCAAATTTCTTAATGTAATTTGCATTATTTTATTAGAAAATTTATATAGGATATGACATCAAAAATTTTCGAAATTTTACATCCGAAAAAGTCATATTCCATGTAAATTTTTGGATGTAAAATTACATGGAGTATATTTTTTTTGAATGTAAATTTTTGATTGTAAAAATTTCTACCTACTTCTTTGCAAATTCAATTGTTCCCCCCTAACGTTAAAGTTCTGCGTCCGCCCCTGGGCCACGTGATATTTAAATTAGTGGAAATTACATTTCCATTTTTAACCGCAATAAAAAATCAGATTTAGGGTTTATTTATACGAAAATTATGTGATAATTCTATATTTTAATATAGAATTATATTATTATAAATTATTTTATATATACTCACACCCTACCCCCCATCCACTTCATTCAAATCCTAAATCATTATTTCTTATTCCTCTTCCTTCTATCTTCCTCTCGTGTGTCTCTCTCTATCCTCTCCCTCACGTATGAATCATTGTCGCCGTCGGAGATAGTCTCTCTCTACTCTCTTCGCTGTGAACGTTGTTGTAGTGAGCCACCGAGACCATCTTTGAGCATCGTCAAACAATGACGCTCTTTGCTGTGAGAATCGTTGTAGCTATACTGCACAGAGATGTCATCGCTGCAGCGTCGATCAGCGGTGGTGGTGGTTTCTGCGTTTTGGGGTATTTTTGTTGGTGGCAGTGGTGATGGTGATGTGTTAGTGTTAGTGGCGGAGGTAGTGAAGTGGTGTAGCGTTTGGTTGGTTGGTTGGGTGGGTGGGTGGAATGGAATGGAGTGGAATGGAATGCGATGAAATGAGATGAGATGGGATAATGATTGTTTGTGATTGGTTATTTGAATGATTATGACCAATAAAAATTTGTGACCAATTATTGGGTGATTGTAATCAATAAAATGGTATAATTGTAACCAATTAAGCCCCTGTTTGGTGGGGGGTTAAAATCAATTTTTTGGTAAATTTTAATAAAAGTCAATGAAATATGTAGTTGAAAAATTGTAGGTCCCATGAAATATATGGTTAAAAATCAATTATTGACTTTGACTTAAATTAAAATCTGAATTTTAGTCCATACGAAACATGGGCTTAATTTGATAATTTTCCACTGTAAAATAAGTTGTGATCCGTAAAACTTGTGATACGTGATCGAGAAATATTACTTGATCAATTAATTTGATAACTTGTGGCTATAAATAAGTCGTGGCTTATAAAATTTGTGGTTTGTGATCGATAAAGAAATTGTAACCTATAATATTTATATTTTTTGATCGAGAAATAATACATGATCAATTAATTTGATAATTATGACTGAGAAATTGATACTAACGGTAATGTATCTAATTACGNACTGAGAAATTGATACTAACGGTAATGTATCTAATTACGACTAGTTCGTAATTGTAATCATAAATTATATAATACTATGATCTTAATATACTTAATTAATAAAATTTAATTATGACCTATTTTTGAAACTTTTAAAATAATTTTCTTAATTTTGAAGTTATATATTATAATTACCTTAAATATGAATTTTTTCCCTTCAAATTATTTCAGTGGAAGTTAAGTTGGCAGAATAGATATTGGTTACGGCTTAGCACTAGTCTATATGCTATTATGAGTTTTTATGGACGTATTTTTTTCCCTTTTATCTCAACGTATATTCAAATGTATTTTTGCTATATAAGTCTATAAATTCATCCTAGTCTGGACGCAATTCAACTTGTATTTGATGAGTACTTA